AAGCACAGCAAACTAAAAGCAAAACCACAACTAGCGAGGACTTCAGCTGTAGGCAGAGTAAATCATGGGGTTGTCTGAAAGAGGCAAAAATGCAGAGTATTAACATTCCAGTATTTTCTGAACATTTTTCCCCAAAAGAAAAAATTACACATTTCAGATGGTTAAATTCTACAATTCAAGTTAATCTAGACATGTTATATCTATTAAAAGAGGATGAGTTACAGTTTCACAGTCAGGGTCCTAAATGAAACTGAATTGTCCTCGATACATTTGTATTCATTATCTATTTACTCTACAAAATGCCAATCAGCTGAACTAAGAATGCCAACTGCCTAATTTCCAACATAAATACATTTGTGTATAGACAAAACATTCCTCTCCAGAAGACACAGAGATTTTATTTCTAATGACCAAAGAAAGAGCATTACACAAATTGATGAGAAAAATATATAAAAGCAGCTATGAAGTCTGACAACTAAAACTGGATTTTCTGTCTATAAAAATTTCTATTTACAACCTATGTAAACTTCTCATAATACAGATACATGTCAAACATTTATATACTCAAGGTTTCTAAATAAACAGCCAAGCACACTTTCTCTTCAATAGACATGCTTGAGGATTTGCTTTTATTTAACGCTTAAAAAAAAGATTATTTTTCCAACCTAGAGAAAAAAAAAGAGGAGTAAAATTACTACGGCAATGGTAAGAAAGCTAGAGAAATGAAATCTTATTCTGGCATAGGTTTAAAATTTTGATTTTTTGAGAAAACAACCGCCTTAACAACAAAACTATAGTTTTATAGTCCTATAGCCCAGCACAAAGAATTGATGTCAAGACAAGACCTTGATGTTACACTAGAAGTCCTGCTAGCTTCACCTTTCATCAAAAATCATCATGAAATTATAAATTTTTACATAATGTTGTTGACAGGACAGGCAGTAAAAAGAGGTCTTCAGGTGCAATATCTTTAACTTCCTTCTTTTTTGCAGATATTTTGACATCTGGAGTACCCTATGCTGCCTTCATCATTGCACTGTCAAGACTGGACAGAAAGCAAATGTAACAACAACACTGGAAAACACGGGGTTAACTTCCAAGGATCGCAATGGGAAATATGTATTCACAGCACGAAGAACTTGAGTAAAATAAGCACATGCAAGAAAGGCAGCAATAACAAGACATATTCAGACTTTTCTGGTATAAACGATGTAGTACCGAACTAGTTGGTATAGCTAACAGAATTTCAGAGCACCTAAAAATGGTACTGAAGGAAACGGAGAGAGGAAAAGCAGGGTATGAGAAAGAATGCAACAGAAGCAGGTATAGAGTTCGCACTAAGGACGAAATCATAGCTCAGTTCCTGCAAGATCAAAATTACACTTAATGTTATGAAATTGTTTCATTTATTTCTATTCAAAAGTCAAATTACTTACTTTCAAAAGAATTATAGTCTTATCTTGCACTATCAAACAAGACCAGATAAAGTATAATTCTGAAGTCCCTACTCAATTGAAAAAATAGCAGACCATCAGTTCGATTATCAGATGAAAACCAAAAAGAGAGAACTTCTGAAAGTCAGTGAGCTGGCAGAGCACTGTGTGTAAACAAAATGGTAAATAACTTCTTCAACTTCAGAGAAGTTGATTTTAGGCCTTATGCTGAGCAGTGCTCTCCAAACAACGAGTTGCCACAGGAAAACTGCATGTATGTATAACGAGTGCATCTGCAGCACATACCCAGGTATTTGCTGGAGATTCGTTGCAAGGGCATGTTCGTTTGGGAGGTAAAAAACAGATTATGGAGCATTCATGTAACAATCAATTTTGCACTACAAAATGAAGATCATGTCAGCTAAATCAAAATATTTCTCATCTACATTCAAATCTGACGCAGAAAATGAGGTTTCCCCCCAAGGGAACGGTGCTTCTACTAAAAGCTTTTGTACTTCACCTAGAACCATTCTCATCTCTGAAGAGTTACTTATTGAAGTTAGGATAGTACAAACACAGAAACCATGAGGCTTTTTTTTCATTTTCTAATTTCAAAATAATTAGCTGGCAGATCTAAAGACAACAACAAAAAAAACCCAAAGAGTAATGGTCACAAAGAGTCTTTTTCGTTAATGCTTCTCATTCTTAAGAAGGTTTGTATTTTCATTTAAAAATTGGAGCAGTCATTGCTGCTCCAAAAAAACAATCAACCTTAGCAGGTCAGAACAGAAATTCATTTAACCCGTTGTTATCTCTCTGTCTTTGACAGGTCAGGACAATCTTCTAGAGGTATTTCTGAATAATGGTCTCCCATCCTCCAGAAAACTGTGATTCACGGATTTTCTAGTAAGAGGCAGGGAATTTAAATTTAATAGCCCTCAAGAGATCTAGTCTTCCATGAATCTGCACACTTGCTTTCTGACCCCATGCAAACAACAGTCCTCACACAACACTGGATGAGGCTGTCACAAGCAAAATAACAAAACAGAAGCAAAAATAATAATCTCCTTGAAGACTGTGCAACTTTTAGATAAAGTTCATAAAGAACGTAAAATATTTAATGAAGCAGTATATTCTGTATGATTCAGATCGCAAAAAAAATAACTTGAAAAACATTTGATACATGTATAGCAAATACAAACAAGAAGATGCACAAATAGCAATAATGCTTCATTATGGCACGGATTTTTCAAAGTCCGCTGCAAACTTATCATAAGAACCCATAAAGAACAAAACAAGAAGCTGTCCACTGCTTTTACATTAAAAAAAATCCCTCTAAACAGTTTCTGCTCTCTTCTGATGTCACTAGAGTCTTATTTTTACTATTCTTTTCTTCTTTTATAAATATAAAAACAAAACAAAAAAATCTGTTTAAAATCAATCCTTACTGCACCAAACTGGAATCTGCAGTTTAAGCTAGCTACACATAAGTTAAGCTGACGCAAAGAGGTATGATCACCAAAATAAATAGTATCACCCTCTGCTTGTCCCTGCACCCTTTAAATACCTGAAGCTGGAGGGAGTGCAGAAAACGTAGAGTTTCTTGTTTGGATCAAGCTCCCCAATCCCTTCCACACCACACTGCTAGACAGGTAAATGTGCTAGGCATAAAAAAGCAGGCAGAATAGACACAAGCAGCTTCCTCACTGTGCAACAGATGCATTGCTTCTTCAGCAGCAGTACTGGCTTATGCCTGCTTAAATTGTTCTCCAAACAGCAATTTTAATGAACAGTACAACAACTACTGGGAGATCCATGACTTCGTATTAGGATGCTTACCAGTACTGTCCGAGTAGACGAGTAGCCACCTTCAGAGATCTCCCTTCCCTGTGCTGTGGTATTAGCAGTCCCCTTTTTCTCACAAAAAATCAATCTTAATATTACAGAGAAAAAAGCAATTATTTTCTTAAATCTTAAAAAAATTACAATCAATTATCAGATTCATATACAAAAAAGCAAAACAGTAGCATACTGATGCTGTGAAAAGCTGGAGTTGAAGACCTAATAGTCAGAGGGCTGTTAAGCAGGTATTCTTTATTGCGGTGCCAGGTACACGAGGGATCTCTCCTCCAAACGTGCGCGCCAAACACCCTGTCCTTTCAGGTTAAATACAATCACAGTATACATATTCATTATATTTCTGAGAAATGCTCAGCATATTTATAATTCTTCCAAGAACTAATTAGCATATGTTAATGTCTTTCACACATGTCTGTTAGCATCCTCGGGTGGTATTTGGGGGTCTCAAGATGAAGGCTTACACTCCTCATCACAGTGTCTGCTGGTTGACCTTTGTTTCTGCGCAGACTCAGTTCTAAGGTTATGTATACCGTGTCCTTCCAGGTTGTTTTGGTTTGGTCTCGTTGCCCTCTTGGTGCCTGTTTATCTCTGTAGCTTGGTCCATCTGCCCTCCCAAGGCTGAGCTGTCAGGGGTAGAATTATTTAGGAGCGTCTCTATGTTAGAGCTTTCCTGTCTTCTCAAAACAGCAAGGATCTACTTTAATTTCATTAAAATAACTCTGGTAAGTGGAAATTTTAAATTTACGGGTATCAATACCTTCAAGATGGCTTCAGCACTCCTGTCAGCTAGCAAACATTCAAGTAAAACTAATTCCTAAAAGCAAAACCACCAGTTCCTGGGATCTAATTCTGTATATCAATCTTCTTTTCTTTCTCTGTCTTACCAGTATGTGAAGCAATCTTAGAGCAAACCGACATATTATGACAGAGCCAACTTAACAACTGCCCCCAAAAGGCCCAAGGGGGGTGAGGGGGAACAAAAAAACGCGCCAAAAGCCAAGCCATCTGAGCACACCGTTCCACAGCCACCAGAAGTGGCTAGGGGAAGAAGGAAGAACGTAGGACTTCCAGCAGTGTCAGGCTCTGGTCCCAGCAGGCAATTCCAGCTCTGACAAAGTCTCTCCTCACATCCCCTTCTCACCAACGGGATTTCTGTTGGGAATTTATCCTCTGCGTGCACTCTGTAACGATGACTGACTTAAAGAGGGCATCAGCTCATACCTCATGTTAATGGGATCCTCCCAAAGCACAATTTTAATTATTGTTGTGTACAGATGCCATTGTGAAATCAGCTCCTGCCGATAGAACGCTGATGAACTTCAGGAGTTTAAAACCAGATCTCTCCAATCTTACTTTGTTGTGACCCTTCACTATCCCCCTTTTTTTACACCTAACTGATGTGTCAGGGCCTCTTCAGATCATAATTTACACAGAGGACACACAGATGCTCTTAGATCCCATGGAACGGCAAAGGCCCATAAATATTTGCTCTAATATTGTGGGACAGAGAAAATTCTCAGCTCTTACAAGTCAGGCTTTGCTGCTGCAGAGCAGAGGCAGATGGGTTACACCATAGACTGGTTATTATTTCCTTCCCTTTCTAGGGAAGCACCTGCATACACAGTCTACTTCAGAGAATATTCCAAGTCTATTTAATGTTCTGCCACGCTAGTTTAATGTTTTTCCTGAGTAGTCAACCCTTTCGATATGGACAAAAGGGTAAGCAGGTACTCTTTCCATAACACTGAAACACATCCAAATTTTAAAATCACATGTCAGTTACGAAAGCAAACCAAGGACTTTTATACGTCTTCAAGGGAACAAAATGAATGATTTCATCAGTAAACGCCTCCACATTTCACTTTTCCTGGACTTAAAAGAATGTAGTATAACAACTCGCTCATATCCAAGCAATTAACTCTGAACTTCTTTGGTTATCTTTTGTTCAGAATTCTATAAATTGTTTTCCACTGCAACGAGGTGCAAGAATGGATTCAGTTAGGATTCTACGAAACCAGGAGCCAAAGCGGTAAATACATCTTCCAAAACACAGCGTGTTCTCACTCATAATAATGCAAATTCATACTGGGCTACTTAAGAGGAATGTGGCGAGCGGCTCTAGGGATATCATTATCCTCCTTTACACCACAGTATCTGAGACTGCTTCTACAACACTGTCTTCAGTTTTGCCATCACAGCTCTCCCTTTCCCCACTTTGAGAAAGAAGTGCAGAAACTGGAGAGAGGCCAGAGCGACCAAGATGGCCTGGGGTCTAACGCCAATTACCTGTGAGGAGAGGTTAAGGACTTGTTTAGTAAAGTGGAAGCTAAGGGAAGAGTTCGTAGACGCTTTCAGTTGACCTCCTGAAGGGCGCTTACAAAGCGCACAGAGCCAAACGCTTCTTGTCAGCAGACTACGTAACTAATAAATAACTATAACGCTACAAACTGCAGCTTAGGAGGTTCAAGCAGACACTTAAGACTGTCTTTTCCAGCACATGTGTTTTACAGAAAACGGGAATAACAAAGCGTCCACTCCAAAAAGCCAAGGAACCACTTACGAGTCCCTTTCCGAAACGAGTAACACGAATGCTAGTGCTCACGGTGACAGTGACACGACGTATTAGCAATGCTTTTCAGGACGCTGTCGATTTCACGAACAGTTGATAGTTACAATGATCTCTCTCCAGCCTTACAGAAGCTTTCCCCTGAGTCTCTCCTCTAACATTGTAGTACCTGTATCAGTCATGCCATATGTTAGTATTTCTACTGAGCAGTAAAACCAAAAGAACTACCAGTTATCCCAGCTATTCAAGGCACCAGTTAAAACAACTAATGACTACACTAATGACCGCAATCACTACACTGATTAGTGTTTGGCATTACCAAGATTTTTCCAAAACAACAGATTGTTTTTCTCCTTGAGTAAATGAACAAGGCTGTCTATACTTCACCCAATTTAAGCCACAGTACAGAAGATAAATAAAAATGCCTAATGAGGAAATAGTTACAGTGGTTTTTTTCCCCCCATACTGCTATGGGGGGCATGTCAGACTACATTAAAAATATCGAGGACAAGAACGGCCTTTCAGGTTAAACGGAAAGCACCAAACCGACCAAAAACTCCTAACAGAAAAAAGGGGCAGTAAAGGAATGAGTGGGACTATTCCAAGAATTTGCTTGGATATAACTCGTAAGAAACTGTCACAGGGTTCAGCACTGATGACACAGAAAAAGCCAGACGGATACACAGAGAAAACAGACAAATACTTTTCGCTTTTGACACTAAGCTTATAGGACGGGCCAATCTCACAGGACAAACCTCATTCCTCCAACTTCTTCCCAGTTCACCTCATTTTAGCAGATTTTCAAAAGGACAGGTTAGAACACGACACACTAGCACGCGACGGCTGAAACAGAAATGCAAGTTTCCGTCCGCCCTCACGCTCCACAAATGGCTTTAAACCACCCCAGCCGCGGTTAAGACCTGCTTCTGACAGCCCAGTCTCAGCGCTTTTCAGGCGCGGCTTGGGTAGGGCCAGCCTTTCCCGGACGGCCGACAGACGTGGCGCCGAACGCCCCTCCGCAGAACGGCGCAACGGAGGGGCGGGAGAAGGCAAGCAGAGCGCGAGGAAGCAAAGCCCGGCGCCGAAGCTCCGGGAAACCAGAGCCCACAGCGGGCGCAGGCCTCGCCTGGAGGCCGGGGCAGCTCCCGCCCACGCGGAGCGC